AGCATATCCTGGCACTCTTCACAAACACATGCAAAGGCAAGTCAAGTGTTTACCACTAGAGATGCCAAAATTGCATTGTTATCGTATCGGGCATGCGTGCGTCAAGTTTGGAAATGATCCCCTATGTATACTACAACAAATATAATCATTAAATTGAAATCCCCTCTGTATAACATTTGATTAAACATCCCCAAACATTGTATAAGTCGCTTTGTGTCGAGGGATATATTGAACTACTGATGTACATCACAACAGGCCTCTTTGATGCGCTATTATATTTTGAAATTGCGTGTTTGAGACAAATTAAAGTGACTCAGTGCTTATAAAAACGTGCATTATAAAACTATTAACAAAGCCTTTTTTGCAATTCAGCAAAATCTGTCTCATCTGTATCAAAGGATGTTTCGATTCATTGGAGGCTGTTTTTAGAGCATCTATTTTTCGTGACATTAGTAATGTACAAGTATTGATTTCATACCCATACGAGACAAAACATGCTTGACAACTTTGCGACTTCTTTGATGTCGCAAAACACGCCACACTAATTACTGATATTAACAATCTTGGACAGAAACTGTCAGTTATTAAGGAAGATGTACGTATGTTGAAGCAAGGAAGTGTTTTTTCTCAGATATAATACCGGGGTTTTTTATACATGAGAAGCTAAACTTGTAGACAAGACATAGGAAGAAAGTGTGCTTGCATTACACTCAACATATGGCATGAGTATATATGTGTAGATGAGATGAGATGGGTTATAATGTAGCTATCAAGACTCCATATGGTCGAGTATATAATGTTAGCCCAACATTCAAAACGTTAACTTGGATATAATGTTATTAAAGGATATTTCTATAGCGCACAACTCAACTAGTACATGCTCGGGGTAGCCTAGTGGTTAAAGCGTTGGCTCGTCACGCCGAAGACCCGGGTTCGAATCCCCACATGGGTACATTGTGTGAAGCCCATTTCTGGTGTCCCCCCGCCGTGATGTTGCTGGAATATTGCTAAAAGCGGCGTAAAACCAAACTCAGTCAGTCAGTCAGTCAGTACATGCTCAAGGCGATGGTATTTTTTCCCTCGATCATTGGATGTGAACCTCAACGGCACATCGTATTATCAATCTTAACTCTCCGAGGATCCTTGCAGCCACTATGCGTACCGAGTTATTTGCGGCTTTCTCATCCTTACCAGGTACCCATTCACAGCTGGGCGGACTGGGACACATAGCCACAGTACTTTGTCCAAGTCTACTGCACGTTGCTGTACCCGCAACAAGGTGTTGGCAGGTGGGCTCGATACCGACACTTCAAGCTCGCTGGATCACTAGCCTGGCGGCTTAGCCAGTTCGCCCACCACGCCCCCTATCTAGACATTCTATACTGAGTTAGAGCCAACTAGTTATTGTTGTCTCTCTTAATGTCGAGCACGAGGCATGGTAACAATAAGTACCATTTGAACGTCTTTTTGGACTGGAGATCGAACCACTACCACCACCACCACCACCACCATTTATCCAAGCATAAACTGTATCACAACGTTGTTTACATGTTTATAAGTATTGTGTGAGCTGGTATATCCCAGCTTTGAGCGAATTGGGTTTTACGCCGCTTTTAACTATATTCCATTGATATCACGGTAAGGTACAGCATAAATGGGCTTCACACACTGTACCCATGGGGAATCGAACCGAGCCTTCGGTCTATCGACCGAACGCTTTAACCACTAGGCTACGTCACCGCCACCATCGTATATCAGGTAAATGCGAGATAGAAACACCTAATTATTCAGGACTTTTTATCACTGTTTCATAATATGTAGTGTATGGTTCTGACAGACCAAGAACCTTATGTAGAATTACCGTAGGCTCAAGCACAAACGATCTGCGGATCCTGGTGTATACATTATGCTAATTTTTATCATTGGTATATAGGTAACGGTATCTTAGCGCAAAGATAGTCGTAAGTGCCATACATTAATATTAACTTACGACTATCTTAGCGCTAAGATACCTTCGAAAATCTAGGCCTAAGTTCCTTAACACAAACATGTCGCAAATGATTTCTTATTTGTCTCGTTCTAAACACTCGCCTCATGTGAAGCAGCAACAACAAGTTGTCAAGCGTCTCTTGTAACCTGGCAACCGGGCACAGGTCGACAATGTCCATTTGCCTTCGGAGATTATGTGACAACATGACACACGATTTGGCGACCGTGGCAGTTTGGCCAATAAACAGCTCTCTTTGGCTTCCACTAGATCTGGAAATGAGCTATAAAGATTCGGCCATGTAGAAAGCTCGGAGTGGAATGGGCCTCCTCTTCATTTTCCGCTGCTACTTCATGTCCGTGTTGTTAGTATGCTGCAGGCCATCGATTCCACCAGAGGCGGATATGTACGGACGCCAATTTCACCCTATGAGATGACACGTAACGCCCTTACTTGATGGTCAAAGTAAATGGGTACCGAATAGCATTTTGACCACAGTTAATAGAATTTCATATTGAATAATAGCTATGCTTAAGGGCTTTTCGTAACAACTAATTTGTGCGTAGTAACACCACTGGCCAAAAGTTCAAAAGGTGAAGGCATGTTAAAGCATTATCTGTGTGAACAAAATACGGAGAACCAATTCTGTTCACTGTGTCTGGAGCGTCATCACAGGCAAGATATTTGGGTCCTTCAAACACAACATGCTAGACAATACTATGGATATTGTGAAGGAAGGACGTTTCAGTTTTGGTAATTTAAATTAATATACGAAAACAGACAAGAAGGTATCGTGAAGAACATGAAAGAGGCAGTTGGAGTATATTTGTAGGTCCTCCAGCGATGGTAACATACTACATAGTATCACGGAGAACAAGAAGAGAGGACGTTTATTTTAGGTCCGTCACAACCAATAACGTACTAGACAAAACTGTGGGGCTGAAGAAGAGTAGACCTATACATTTTAGTTCCGTCTTTCCGTGTGTGTGTGTGTGTGTGTGTGTGTGTGTGTGTGTGTGTGTGTGTGTGTGTGTGTGTGTGTGTGTGTGTGTTGTTTGTTGTTTGTTTGTTTGTTTGTTTGTTTGTTTTTTGTGCATTGGTCCGCATTATTGGAATACAAAGTCAGTAGGTAAGGTTTTTTCCAATGTCAACAGTATTTCGCCGGTCGTAGCGATACAAACGCTTTGTGTGGGCGTCCCGTAGAAGTGCAAACATACCTTCGCGTGGGCACGTTAAGGAAGTCAACTTTCAGAGAGTTTGGATTTACACATGGCAGGAGCAAAAACACTTCCCAGACGTGTCCATTTACTCGACTGCTTTTTAGTCAGTAACAAGGATCTTCATGACACAGAACCTTCTGTAAAGGTCAGGGGACATTGGTATCGGTGCTCACACCTTGATACTTCTTCTATGAGGAATAAGGCAGACAAGCAGAAAATATCCATTACCTCCCTGTAGCAAGATCCTCAGAAATAAGACCAAATTCCACTCAATATCCGGGAAAATTGAAAATCAATACAATGTCACTGGATGTATTCTTGCACGCCAAAGGCGTTTCACGTGCCCGTTTGTACGCAGGAATAATCTGCCGAATCTAAAATTTCTTCACAGAGGGTTGAAGCAGCACCGTGCCGGAAACAGGCTTTGGAAACAGCAAATCTTCACAAATAACTCTTCATCGATCGAAGCATACGATTTATAGAATTATCACAAAAACAAAGCTCCGTTCTTCTTCTAAATTGGCATGATGAAACTGCTGATGACTTTGTAAGTGGTATCCCATTTAACAGAAACCCTGATGAAGTCGTGTCCTTATTAGATAATGGTCGACAGTACCCTGTGGAATATTACTTTGTCATATTGTAGTAAGCTGTGGAGAAATACGTCACAAAGAATTGGAAATGGAGCAAAAGATCACTCACCTGTCAAAAAGACATCTTCTTCCACTTCCGTTGTCGTAAAAAGAACGGAAATACGAAACGGCAGTACTTCCGGTATCCAGTTCCAAATGTCTTCACTTCCGGCCTAACGCTGACTGTCCATAAAATAGCTGAGCTATCAATACGAAATACTGACCACGATCAAAGTAGTTTGCATGTACCCTTCCCTTTTCAAAATAAGTCTATTAGAAATAATTATTTAAGTAAGTCATCACGAATACGTTGAAAACAAATAGATAGTGTCGGTCTCCATATCAGTTCAAACCATTGTATTAGATTAAACGAGTGAATAAATATCTAGCATTTGGTCCGTGGATACCTTCTTTATAAAAATTGCAAGACTTATCTTTTAAGTCAACATAAACCTTTGTCTATGATAATTGTTTCATTTTATCAAAATCATTTCCTAATATATGTATCTACTAAATACCTTACATATAAGGTGAGTACGCCCTCGCTACTAAGTCCGTCCTTAGAATGTGGACATATCTCGCGTGGGTATAAAAAAATGTAAAGCAAATCGGTTAGTAACTGAAAGTAATGTATATCGAAAACATCGTGAAAAGCCGATTTCCTTACTGATTGAGCTCAAACTACATACGGACAGTCTGTTTTACATGTCAAACACACATGGAGATTCGTGTTGACGAAACACGCTTTAACCTACAGTGTAATGACTTAAATAAACATCCTGGTGAATGAGTAAAGCATGATGAATATTCCACACTGTATAAAATCAGTTGATTGAACTCAACAATTCTACGGAGTCCTGTCGTAAACAGACCCAAAAGAAGCATTATACTACGCCGACTGTTTTCGCTCTTTTGTCAGAATGAATCATGAAATATTTTAGAAATGGTAGACGTATTGCAACATTTTCACTCTTAAGCATTACTGATTTAGGATAATACAATAAGAAGAACTGAAGTATTATTGCATTAGCTTAGAATGTCACATCGGTAACACTATATTCAGAATAAATAGGATTTCACAATTGTAAAGGTTAAACATCTTCCATAACTGACAACTGGGCTTTGAACAAGACAAGTTGCATTTAAATGATGTTCCCTTACCGTAAAACCTATTCCAACTGTCGCCGAGAATGCACCCGCCTGGAACTTGCACTGGTCAAACTGCACCAACAGGGACGTCTTCCCAACGCCACTGTCTCCAACCAAGATTGTCTGAAATGTAAAGTGTTAAGTTATTATTTGCCTGTACCATCTGGTGTACCTATATTGTTGGCCTCCCCTTACCACCATCATTATAAAACATATGTTCTTGCTGTCTGCTTGTGTACGTATTTTGAGTCACCAATGTGGCTTCGAATCCTTCAAAATGGTAAAATAGGCATTCGACGTATAAAGTTTTATGTGTGTGAGTGAGTTGGGTTTTCAGCAATATCACCGAAGGCGACACCAGACATGAACTGCACACATTGGCGTGACGAGCGAACACTTTAACCACTGGACTACCCAGCTGCCCCCAGTTTTATGTAAAACATGTTGACTTAACATCAGTGAGTATGTGAACTTGTAGAATTACAAATTGTTGAAAGAAATGTTATTAATAAAATAGTGAATTACTTATATTTTGTCATGTTTTCTTCACGTCTAGGGTACTGCCCCATCGCCCGAATGAACACATCATTGTAAGAAGCACCACTATCTAAAGAGGGAGTTAATAAAGCACAGTATATTGTGGGCCAGTATTATTTCCACACATTTTTGGTTCAATATGACGTTGTTGAGACCAAGGAGTTCCGGATATTAAGAATTGATTTTACAGTCTCTAACAGACTGTACGATATAAATGTCAGCGACTGCGCAGGGAAAAGGTAGAACCACGCAACTCTTTAGATGATCACCTCATTACAGTAAACGATCACAGTAGATGATAAAACAAAATATGTAAACATGAAAATATAACTTTCATTGTGACATGCACATCAAGATCGATCAACGACGAGGACATTTTTTCCAGGGCACAGCTGCAATATATCTGATGTATTTTGGCGATAGGGTCAACACACATTCTTGCAGAGGATGTGTTTCGACATAAATCTTTGTTCCAACTCTTGATATTGACACTGATATATCACAATCCAATACATGTTTTCTTATAACACTATTTTATATAACTAAGTAATGGTTTCTATACGTAATGATTAAAGTCAACTATACCCGACAGAGCTATGGTAATTATGGTATTTGTCCTTGACGTGTCACTGTTTGGTCGGATCTGCGAGGCTGAGTGTCCGAGGAACCACAGTATAGGCGGAGAAATGCACACCACAGGAATATTCAATTGCATTAGGGAAGACATTGAGTTCTCTTCAGTGAGTGAGTGAAGAGTATTGGTTATATCACGGCGATGCTTACGTAGGAACAAGGTCCGAAATTCTGCAGGTCTTAAACGTTTACCACCTTCGCGAAACCCTCAAACATTGAGCTGACAAACCCACAAACATTGAGCTGACAAACCTGCAGACATTGAGCTGACAAACCTGCAGACATTGTGCTGACAAACCCACAAACATTGTGCTGCTGACACACCTGCAGACATTGAGCTGACAAACCCACAAACATTGAGCTGACACACCTGCAGACATTGAGCTGACAGACCTACAAACATTGAGCTGCTGACACACCTGCAGACATTGAGCTGACAAACCTGCAGACATTGAGCTGACAAACCTACAAACATTGAGCTGACAGACCTGCAGACATTGAGCTGACAAACCTACAAACATTGAGCTGACAAACCTGCAGACATTGAGCTGACAAACCTGCAGACATTGAGCTGACAAACCTACAAACATTGTGCTGCTGACACACCTGCAGACATTGAGCTGACAAACCCACAAACATTGAGCTGACAGACCTGCAGACATTGAGCTGACAAACCTGCAGACATTGAGCTGACAGACCTGCAGACATTGAGCTGACAAACCTGCAGACATTGAGCTGACAAACCTACAAACATCGAGCTGACAAACCTGCAGACATGGACATGGACTGTAGCACACGTCGACGTGTTTAATGTCATAAGAAGAGACAGCCTGCTATTTCATTACGAATACCTCTTTTGTAACATAGATCAGTTCATAATAATTTGACTATGGTATTTTGTATACATCTCATACGCCCAAAGGACCAATTTGATATCATATTATGTTATCGTACAAGACATATTGTTCCCAACAATGATTAAAAATGATTGAAATGAAAAGGATTGAAAAACTATTCATGTTCCAGATTGTTAAAAAATGTAAAAAAATGTTCACTGTAGCATTATGTTTCTTTTTTGTTAGCAAACTTGTATGATCACAGTTTAATTAACTGCAGACAACATATATTCTTATAAAATCCAAGAAAACCCAGGAAGAGCGCATGATCTGTTACTGGAATTGTGGTATGAAAAGATCCCATTTTCTCGTCATGCCTAAATATATGATGGATATGAAGGAAGATTACCCGTTCGTAAGGTGAAATAAATCCAACATGATTTTGAGATTGGGCCTTGAAATTATCTTGACATTAATACAAATACATTGTTTGGTATGGCATTAGACTGTCCAAGCGAATTATGTCTAAACCTTGTTCGGTCAAGCAATGGTCATTATCAGATAATGAAGATGGACAGTGCAGCTTGGATGGACCTTGAAGGCATCGGGGAACATCATCATTAGGCGGCCAGCAATTTGTCACGTGTCCACACCAACTCGGCATCACTGACCAAATTGAATTTGTAGTACATTGACATTCCCAGTAAACAACACTGAAGAAATGATCAGATCCGTGCTGCATGTACGTTAATATACTGGCGTAACTGGTCTGAGTGAGTGAATAAGGTTTTACGCCGTTTTGGCAGTATTGCAGCAAAAGTATCGCAGGGGACACCAGATGTGGGTTTCATACACTGCACCTAAGTGGGGAATCGAACCCGAGTCTCCGGCGTGACGAGCAAACACATTAACTACTCTGCTACCTAACCGCCCCTGGGATTGGTTCTGAAGTTACTGTTTCAGGAATGTAAACGAAATTTATCAAATGTTGTTCATAGCAATAATGAAATAGGATGTCGTTATCAAACAAATGCTAATGTTTCCATAGGTTACGAATATTAGACTAAGAATGTTTGTTGAAAGGATATTTAGATAACAAGATTGATTATTGGTCGGGAACTTGTTCTGGTGAAGCACATTGTTTGATTGACATTATACCATGCTTTAGAGTAAATGGATGATTGCCACTGGACACTGTGTTGAATAACGACTGTCATCAAACTGACTGATATCATGATCGTCATCGTCATAACTTTCACAATAGTTCTTAATGCAAAATATACAGGGGCCTCTTTCGGGTTTTTATTGAAAAGAGAACCCTTTGAACAGTCATATAAAAGCTATGTCATTATGTGTAAGAAACATGTTCCAAAGGCAGTCAGTCACTTGTACGATCATATGAAAAGCTAATGCTTATGAATGGCTAAAACAGCGATGATACAGGGTGTTCGCGATGGATGAGCGTATCCTGCGACTCATTGCCCTATTGTCATGTGGCAATTTCAAATGGTCACCTGAAGACACACGAGGACATATGATAGAAGTTAGTTAAAACAGCACAAGTATATGTATCAAGCCAATCATAGAGTGAAATATATTCTAATCGGGGATTACGACAGAAAAAGGAAACTAAACGGTAAAAGATCCAATTGACTTTAGTAATTTTTTCTACGGTGTCTATTCACGACGAAGAAAATTTAGAATTTCCAAGACGAGTTTTTTTTATAATTATGATCACAACTCAAATATGCAAATTGAGTACCAAAAAGCAACTCTTGAATCATGTGGGCATATTGTTTCTGGCAAATATTGATCAATGGCAGCAGAAATTTGCCTAATCAAAGTACATATTTCATCATTTAGATCCATCTTTGGGCACAGTTGATGTCTTCCAGCTTGTGGCTGGAGCGTTATGCAGGTCCCTGATGTGTTCCTCGGAAGGTGGCAATCTGGTACGCGACGCACAGTCTGCCCGAACAAATTGTAGATGACAAGCGAGGCACAAGACAGGAATTAAATTCAATAAAACTGACATATAAATTCCATAGAGACACCAGCAGAAACATTTAACAGGATCACTGTGGCATGCGTCGATTTTCCGGTTATATACAGTGTAATTGAATTTATTCATGAGCGGATCAGTATTAGTACTTGAAATCACATTTTATATCACAGAATATCAAATTTGAAAGATTTCACGTGTCCAGTGGATTTAAGTTATGATTAAAACATGCTAATTGAGAGCTTTAGTTACTTTGGAAAGCATATTTCGTCAGTTTGCATACTTACGACACGGGAAATATAATTACTTTTATGCAACAATACATAATTTCTTAAAAGACAAATAAGGCACGTTGAAGGCTTTCGGAATGGGAAGACTTGCTTTCGGCAAGGTAGAGCATAAGATGGAAGTGTTTGGAACTGAAGTAATTATAGCAACACGTCTTTTCAACATTTCCCTCGCGTGAACATGTACATCAGCTACCAAGTAAACAAAATTACCTTTTACAGCCCTCAGTGATATCCCGTTTGCCCGGAAACCATTTTTTCGGAAGACCTTTGTCAGGAATATGATAATGTCGTAAATAGGGACAGTCGGTCATCTTGCGATGAACGCGGTGGCTCCCCACCCCCTCGAAGCCTGGGATTGTTCCCTCACATTAGTACAAAACGAATTTGTGAAGCTCGTTTTGGGCTCCATCGTACAAATAGCTTGCTAACTTTGTAATCGTGTAAATATAGAGTAGTTTTCTGACTGGGATTTTTTGCGTCTCTGAAACGCAGTCGCGCTGGACTGCGCCATATCTCCCTGAAACCTCCGCCCATCGTTCAGCGTGGCAGCATAAGTCCCAGTTCATGATCCAGGCGTTAGATCTCGCGCAATATACTCTCATTTGGCGTGTTGGGAGATGATTAATAAACCGGATTCTGTAATTAAAACAACGAGTAGGCCCTGATTGGCCGTGGGAAATAACAGAATACTGCAATGAGATTTACCTCCAGGAATTAATCCACAACAATCCGTAAAAAATACCCTAGTCTGTCGCAACAGACAAATCAATGTCATTTGATAAACCCACACAGTCATTTCTTTTCTTTACTTTTACGGAATTTCCG